TTTTGGCGAGAGTGGCGAGATATTTGCTGGAAATTACAACAACTCGTTTTTACCATGTCCAACTTTCGCTAATTTTCAAAAAAATTTTATGAGACATTCGGAGAGCCCTAATAACCGGCAGATAGGGCAAACCTTTTGCCAACCTATGCAATTTTTTGTAGCCCTACGGCTTGTCTTTCAGAATTTCTACGATTTATTTTTTTGAAGTGACCAAATTATACATTCAGCCTATTTTGACCTCGTAGAACATAAAATGTTAAACACTTCAGTCACCATTCGATGCAGATTTTTCTCCTCTTTCTAACACTTGTCTTTTTTTGCCGAGACAGGCGAAATTTGTGGGGAAAATCGCAGTATTTCTCACTTTCAGGAGTGCGCAGTGGCATAACCTATGTTTCAAAATCTTCATAATTTGAAGCGAAAGTCGCTCATTCACTTTGTAATGGTAGCGGTAGTAATAATCATGGGCTAAAACCTCAGTTTTCTGAAGGTTTCGCAGTGTTTGGTGCAATAACAGGTTATGCAATTTTTCTAAAACACAAGATTTTTAGAAAATTATTTAGCAAAAATTTGGAGAAGCTAAAAAAAAGAAAAAATTGCTCAAGTTGGCAAAAGGTTTGCCCTATCTGCCAGTTATTAGGACTCCTCCGAATGTCTCATAAAGTTTTTTTGAAAATTAGCGAAAGTTGGACATGGTACAAAACGAGTTGTTGTAATTTCCAGCGAATATCTCGTCATTCCCAACACAATGAGAGTTCAACAGCTGAAAAGAGGAAGAAATTCTGCATTAGATGCATTTGAAGCGTTTGTTTGTCTTCATTCTAGCTTGTTTGCCGATGAATTGAAAAAAACTGACAAAACTTTTGGAACCACCTAATATATTGCCGTCCTTTTTGAAAGTCACGAGATACCCAGCGTACTAGTGCGTAATTACAGTTAGCGCCCCCCTTGCTAAGTGAATTTTTGAGATGAAAAATGGTTGCGTTACTTTTTGTGTGACAGCTCAACTTGCAACGCGAAAACTTTTAAAGCTTGTTTCCTTTCGATTTTCTTCTAAAAAAATTGACTTCTTCGCCCCAAGAAGAATTACAAAGATTATGAAAGTGGTGCGCACGAGTTGGAGACCTATTCAAGTGACATTTGTTTAAGAACAAAATAATTTTGCCTTTTATGCCATTAGGGCAGAACTAATATTGAAAAAGAGCACGACAAAGTAAAGTTAGCCCACAGAAGTCTATCTGATACCCGATTAACGTGTACAAAGCTTATCAACTGCAGTGTCGGGGCACCAGCGTCTCCACCCCCACATGGCCGCTTCGCCGGCCACTCGCTGTTTTCATCTGCTCAAAGATCAGTAATTTCCGAAATTGCTGTCTTGAGAGGAGCCGAAAAGAGCAAACCTCGAGCCCTAAAGTAACCCTCTAGGTTCTCTTAAACTACTATTCGGACTCTCAATGTTTTGAAATTTTCGATTTTTGATTGATTTACCAAGCTCATGAATGCACCAAATACATAAAAGCGAAGTTAATTTTAAATTTTGACGATTCAAAGCTTGATTGTTACCAACCAACACATAAGCATAATCATTTATCACGTGCGTATAATCACTTAACAAAATTTGAAAACGTGAGGTTTTGCTCAGTAAGCTAAGTTTTTTTCTTTGAAATAATGAGAGTAAAATTCAAAATTTAAGGCTGCCCAAAATGGCAAAAGGTGTATCCAATTTGTTAGCCATTACCGTTTTTTGAGAGAAGAAAAGGTTTTGGAAACCGCGGAAATTTGGGATTTATCTGAAAGACTGGTCAAATGTTTCCTTTCCAGCTCCTTCAACTTTCAGCTAAGTCGGAAATTTGCCCGAATACCCATCGCTTTGTGCTCTTTCTAACAAGACATGCCATAGAAAAGCAGAACGAAAGAAGAGCCAAAAGTTACCATTCCAGAGAAAATGTAAAAATGAAAAAAAATTTTCAAAGATGTTTTTGTTAGCAATGTTAGCAATCTCTTTTACGTTTGTGAAAAGCCAAACGGGAGACTAGCAGCCAGAATGCTCAAATTCTTTTGCGATTAACAACAAAAGGTGAGTGAAGGGTTCGAAATCGAGTGCAAAAAGAGGTTCGAAATCGAGTGCAAAAAGACTGGAAAGATGGGAAGTGGAAAGATGGGAAGACTACATGCAAACTAACATCTTTACTTCTGGAACATCTTGATCACCGCGCATGATGAAGATTTGCGCCTATCTGTCAGTCTCCTTCCTTTGTGATCTTCGCTTTCAGCACAGGATGAAGGGGTAATGCCAACCTTTACGGGCGCTCAGTTCCGGAGTTCATCGTACCTTTGAAGGCGTATTTACAATGCAATATCTTTGAATGGCCTGGAAGGTAATTTGTGCAGATAAGAGGGTTAAACATGGAACAAAAGTTAGCTCCTACACTTGCGGTGGCCTTCATGGCCAAGATTGAGGCGCCAGTCCTAGAATGCCGTCCGTTGCTATAGCAGATTCATTGACGACTGTTTCATAATCTGTTCGACTCAGGCAGAGGTTGACAGTTGTTTCAAGATACTCAACGAGCAATCTGCATACATCGAGCTTACGAGGGGAAAGCCCAGCGAGGAGTGGCTACGCCTTAGGTGTACACGTAAGAAAATGGTACCGAAAACTCTGTAAAAAACATCCTATTATACTTCCGCCCAGCTCATCCCTTACATATGAAGAGAGCTGGGATAAAAAGTATGTTTCGCACAGCTTCTCGCATTTGCAGCGGAGCAGAAGAGGGCAGAATCTCTTGCGCTGGCTCGTAGTATAGCGGCTTCTGACGGCTCTGAATACCATGCTAAAAAGACAAGCTGCGTGGAATACATGATTTTCAGGTAGATAAACCTAATATAACGGATAAGATCCCTTTCAGCGTCCCCTATATCTCCGATGAAGTTAGCACAGGGTTCAGCACAGATCGTCTGGAAGCAGGCTGGACTTCGTTTTTGAAGCAAAAAGCAATGAAGATATCGTTTTCGACGAGTCGAGGCCAAACACGACGAATAGGCGCCATTTAGTCGAACACAGCTTTTCGGACAGGTTATCGCACGATTGACAGCTCAATCGTGTAAGGCGAAAAGTGCGCGCGATTTGAAAGCAACGCTATAATAAATAAATTGCTTGTTTACAGCGCACACGGATGCATATGACACCAAAATTGAATTGCATGCATAGAATATTATTTGCAAAAGAATTATGCCAAAAAAAAAGAAAACTTACGTAAAGTATTACTTTCCAAACGGTCTCCAGACGGCCACCAGACGATCTGAGATTGTCTGGAGTATTATATTTCTGTCACTTCACATAAGTTTCGGATTTTTCTATAATGGACGGATTCCCCAGCCAAAAATCTATCTCTGAGCATGAAGACATCTCCATATCATTACCTTTCCTTTATTTTTTGCCTTCATTTCTCCATAAATCGCTTTGTTAAATATCGCGCTCCAATGCCAAACTCTTGTGCATGCGTAGTATTCAGCTCCAATTTGGATTTCCACTCTTCTTCCGTTTTTTCTTTCAAACTAGTAAATCTTTCTTGTTTTCAGCTTCTCCTAAGCAGGTAGGTCAAAGGGGACTTCGTAAAACATCCGAAAGTCAGGGACACTTCGTTTTCAGAGACCCTAGAAACCGACTCGTGCCGGGCCCTGAGTTAGCACTGCCTTAAGGCAGTGTCTGAGGAGATAAGGGCTAGAAAATTTTGTTGCGATGTTGGACATACCCCCAAATAACCTAAAAGGTATTTTGGTTCGCAACCGCATTTACGATCGCACTTGCATAACGCCCAATTGCATTATCTGCCTTGCGGGCAGGCGCGGGGACTGCATAACGTCGGGTGTCATCTGCCTTATCACCTGCGCGGGCTGTGGCGACACGTATATTAGTAAGACGGCGTGTCCTCTATGCTTCCGCATTAAAGAGCATTTAGACCGCAGGAATAGATCACGCTCGATCACATCTCTACACTCACAGGGTGCTGAAACACGCAGGAGATAGCTTTGTAGTTTCAGTGAAGTTCTTAGCGCATGAATCCCAAACATCAGCTTGGAAATGTTTGAAAGCCTTTCGGATTCACGCAAAAGTCCACAAATGAATCGCAAGGAGGAGTGACTCTCTATCACCTGTAAGCTCGCACCTTATCTGGTCACCTCTTTTGACTCATTGTAGACATATAAATAGCGTGGCATACGTGGTCACTCATTAGCTCGCGCCTAGACACTTGTATGCTATCGGCATTTTGTGTTTGGCGTGACAGTCTAGTCGGTGAACGGGCAGAGTCTTTGCTTGTGGAGCTGCAGAGACGGTTGATCGGATAGGTTGCAGATTGTTTTGTCCAATCCACGCTTTGAAGAAGGGATCTGCCGAAAGGTCTGCCACATATACCAATCTCGAGTGTAGCTTATATAAACAACTACAACAAACTTATTAGATTCGCAAACTAGCCAGATAAAGCCAAAAAAGGATGGTCATCGTGCAGTCTCATGCCTTTACTCCAATCAAAATAATAATCAAGGCATTGTTAGGCGGTGAATAAAAAAAGAAAAGATTGCACGACAAATGTATCACTGCGTCACCGCAGCTATCTTTTTAATATTGCTTTTTTCCTAGCTAACCTTGTAATGGTTTTGCCATGCGTATGACTGTGTTCGCAAAAGCTAAGCATACGAAACTAATCAACGTTCCCTAAGTCTCCTTCATTTTCTCGAAAAGTCAAAGTTTTTTCGGCAACTTTGCTATACATAAAGATAGGCTCAAAAATCTTGGCAACCACAAAAGTTTTTTAGAGATGCTTTCTAACACTAGACTTGTGAAGATCTTCGTGGCCTGATTAGAGCCGCGCACTTCGGGAATCTTCGAATTGGGAACCCCACGCCATGCTATTTTCATTGAATTTTATTTTGTATTATTACATTTTCAGATTGTCGTTTTACGTCGCTGCTTAAATGCAAAACCTGCATCTTATTTTCAGAATCTTACTTGCTGAAGGGTTGATCAGAAATGGAAAACGGGGTAAACCCAATCTTCCCAAAGCAGCGAATTTATATAGAATGGTAGGATGCTACGTTGGTTGCTGCCATCTGATATCCGATCTGTACAGTCTGTTTTTACGACGTGCTCACTCAAGCACGGCTTTTCCATTTTGTAATATTGACAAATAACTTGTGTTTGGCTATTCCAGCGTTATGACATGGATTTGGAAGCAGAAGCGCAAAGATACGCAAACACTTGTCCAACAGCTCCTTCATCCGTCTCTTCGAGACCAAATTCTGGTGAAAACTTCGAGATCGTGTATAAAGTCTCATCCTGCGAGTTTCTGATCCCGGAGGTAAGCTATTGAGCACATCCAATTAAAAAGATCCTGACGCAGTGACTTAGGTGCTAGAATCTTGGTGGTCACAAATTGCTTACAGCGGAATGAATATAAAGGTGCCGTACAATGATTTTCTAGATTCCGAGCCCGCTCCTTCGAAATTTACGCAGGTAAAGTTTTTAACACCTGGAAATCCACATAGATTCTGCGTGATGTTATTACAGAGTAGGCAGTAAACTTATAAAAATTTATAATATTTCATCTGATTCATTTTGCAACGGAAAGCGACAAATCTCTTAAAGCGGAATTAGTAGTATTTTACACAAGCAGATCTCCCAAACTCTATCTAGAAAAATAGAGATAACATTAACCAAGACTTCTTTTTGACAAAGAGCAGGTTGGTAGTAGCCAAATTTTGCAATCACTTCCATGCAAAAGGTGTTTAGTTTTGTGCGGTCCATCCACTTTCTGGTATTGTGTAACTGCGTCATGCTGCGAATACTGCTATAGTCTTACCTTTGCATTAGGTATTCATTGGCAAAACAACTTTTTTTATTTCGGCTGAAATCGGTCTAAAGTGAGGGGGATTGACTCAAAATGATAACCAAGGTAAATGATAGAGCTTCCTTGACATTCGCATATATTCATAGTACGTTATCCGGCTTTGACGCTGCAGAGCAACATTGAGTTAAGTGGCTACTATCGTTGTGTTTAGCAGATGACAACCCCTATACAAAGTTCCCTCAAAATCAAGTAATTAACCCTTTAGTCAACGCCACTCGCTCAACTTTTCGAAAAAGCTTTTTAATGCGCCTTCGGCTTTCATCATTTCATTTTTTCATACCTTTGATCCAGCTCTTAACACCATACTTATCCGATTTAACCTGTACGTCCAATTCAATCAGTCGCTATTGGTCGAATCACTGAACTAACAAATAGCGAATGGAGTAACGGAACCGGATAAGTCTGGCACCTGCCTAAGGATTTGAAACCTCAGAATTCGCCGAGACTTTTATTAGGATTATTTGATCCGCCGAGCACAAATATCATATTCATTTCATAAATCAACGCCTCTTTTTTTGTTTGGAGTGAGGCCCCATACCGTAAACCTACACTAATCGCACAAAAACCCTACCATACCCCCTATCATGCAAATTCAGTCATTTTCGTGATCAACATGATGAATAACCCTCTACGCAAAATTTCAGACAAATCTGTAGTAATACAAAACTGTCGTAACCCCCATTATGACGTCAGAATTTGGCAAAACAGCAGCTGCGCTTCTATCTTGCATAAAAGCCTATATAATAGGAGAACTGGAACGCGTTACATGCAAGTGAGAAAGGTCAAAGCTGCAAAACTTGGTTTAAAACCTGATAATAACTTTTGTTACGAATCAGTAGATCAGATTGCTATCCATCCAGCATGTTGAACCGTTTCAAACGTCCGAAAAGTCTGTTTATATTATGAAGTTCACAGATGGATCGAATCAGCACTTTCCAAAACCTAGTAAAAGCGGTGTTGATGTGAGCAATTTCCAGATGGGATGGGCAGCTACTTACAAAGTCGGATGCGCTATGAAGGTTTGCGGTCACGTAACTGTTGTAGTGTGCAGATACAGACCACGGTAAAGCTTAGTACCAGTCAGTCTCTGAGGCTAGCAGGAAATTATATGTGCTTCAGCGGAAACATACCAAATGAGTATGTCTACCGACGAGGAAATCCATGTGCCGATTGCTCGTCTACATGTAAAGAGGGACTTTGTAACGCTCCTGCATAACATTGGGTGACCGAGATGAACAGTTGCGTTGTTATCCTGATGTTCAATAAAAAATGATAAAGTTTAAATCCATGAGAATTTGCAAAAACGATTTGTCACTTTGAGTATCTGAGAGCGGAGCCAGCTTTCGACGGCGACGAATTTTGCACACGATATACACAAATTGTAGTGGGTGATGGAACAAAAGTAAGGCAAGCACTCAAGCTGAAGATTCCAATTTCATGTTTGTAGCAGTTGCAGACGAGCGATCTTCTGGAAGTTTTGTAAATGTTATTTAAGGACGAAGAGCAATGTTTTCCAAACTCATTTTTTGGATGAATCAAAGAGTTCTTAGGAACAAAGACTTCCGCTTTCCCTCTTCTAAGTCTCTGCGAACGCGCCTGGACTCGGATCTATTATCATACTCTATATAAAGCTTTGTGCTTCATTTTTGCAATCATGGTAACAAATAATCCACGGTCTACGTTTATAGGCATGTAGTTCTACTGTGATTTTTACTTTATGAAGCGGTTACGAGCATTTGTTGCTTTTTGCGTCGACAAAAACGGCTATCCATCTGGAAAAATCAAAGCAACGAGGAAGTCAACAAACAGCCTTGCGAAACGTTGTGGAAGTTTTCTACGCTTTTGCAGCAGTCGGCAAAGCCAGCCGCTGTTCGTTCACTTCTAGCGATTGTGTGAACAATCGAACAGCTAGAACATGAGGAATAGACATACATATACTCCTATTTGACAGGGGTGTTCAATCTGCCCCAGTCACAAAAACTTCTTCTTTTCTTTTAATTCTTTCTTCCAACCAAATTGGATGCTAGCTTGAATTAGCTGGCTCTGCTTGTCTTTGTTCTTGTTGTGTCTTTCTCATTCCACCTGTCATAATAAAAAATGCAGTAAGTTTGACTCACGAAAAACGAATAAGCTTGAAGAAAAATTCTGAGCTAGCCTTAGCCTCTGTAATCTCTTGCCTAATATAATAGTTCAAGTTTGGGATGAGGGGGAAGGAATTTGAGAGAGAGAGATCAGTCCTTAAGTTTGACTCCTTATTGTGATTCGCGCTATCAAGTTTAGCTCCTCGATTATGGGGCGATTAAGCTTCCTACTTTTTGGGCACGGAAAAGTAAGTTTGTTCGGAGTAATTTGGGACAAATAACGCACAGACTTGGTTTCCTGCTGAGCCCGCAAGTCATTATGAAGATGTTGTACACTTCAAGCTTTTCTGAGGTGGAATTCCACAGAAGTTATTCGCTCCTTATTTATTCAGAAACACATTCGAAGATTACCCAGATGTTCGGTAGCAGCAACAGGAACCAGTAGAATAAGGAGAACAAAACGCATTATCTACACTAAGTAAACTGTTGGGTTGGTGATAATTCGAGCTTTTATATCGAACTATTTATATTTTCGAATTTATTTTTTTTTGAAAAAAGCGAGCCATAAAAGTCCGCCTTACATAAATTCACAGCTGACATTGCTTTCTTCTAAGCTAAGTTAAGCATGAAATGTTTGCAACTGTAAAAGAATTTTGGAAAATTTTGAGCAAAAGCATGTTTTCTTCCTTACTTTGCTTATTTTGTTATAGCGCTAACATTTTGATTTTTGGTTTTCTTTTCTCAGATCTTCTTCCAAGCAGGGCACGGCATAGGTGGCTTAGCAAGCAAGCTGGATATCGTTTTTGGGGAAAAAGCATAGGGGATATCGTTTTTGCGGAAGAGAATAACGTTGTCTCTCGATCTGCGGCCGGCACGCTGCCGGCATGCCGCTAGCAAATAAACAAAAGGTTTGTTTACAGCGAATTGCTGATGAAATGACACCAAAATAGGTGTGTAGATGGGCAATGGGGAGTTAGAACTAAGTATGGAAAATTATGAAAAAATTATGTGAACTAAAGGCGTGCTCAACTTTTTTCGGAGTTAGGTGGCTTTCAAGCCACCTGGATAGCCACCTGAGGTGGCTTAGGAGAGAAAAAGTCATAAATTTTTCCTCCCTCACATAATTTTTGCACTTTCTTTACATACTTTTCATCTACATCCCGAACCCTACAAACTAGTTCCTAAACCGCCTCAAACCCCCTTCTCCCCGCTTAGTTATAGCTCCTTGAAAATTTTGAATGGCCGCGGAAAAGCTGCTCTAGGCACGTATTGCTGCACGATGGATATATCATGCCGCCATTCCGGAGAATATAAATATAATTGCGTGTGTTCGATGATTCTTTTTCGTTTTTTTTCAGCTGTTGCTTTGTTTCGTTCCTTTTCATGTATTCTTCTTCGAATATCTCGTGGCGGATGTCGTAATTTCATTGAAGTCAAAAGGGACTTCATTTTTTGCAATATCGGGACGCCACCTCGTGCCGAGCCCTGGTCTAGGGTCAAAGGGGACTTCGTGAGAATTCGCAAAAGTCGAGGGGGACTTCGTTTTTTGCATTTTCAACTAGCCACCTCGTGCCGAGCCCTGCTTCCAAGCTCTTTCTATTTGCATTTCTACTAATGGCTTGTTGCCATAAGAAACTATTGTTCGCCTATACTTAGCTGTACTGATACTGCAAAAGGGCAGAAAACAGTGGCTTGAAAAAGATAGTAATGTTTTGAGAATTCTTTTGTTACAAATTATTGCAACGAAGCTTGAGCAAACGGCTTTCAATAACGAAGTATAAAAAATCAGTTTGGTTATCCAAATTACGGTTTTTTCCGTAATACTTATAAGGAAAGCTACCAGGATGCGTCAAAAGTCTGGGATCCTGTATCTTTTTTTTTTCGATAAAATCAGAAGGGAAGATCCTAGAAATAAGAAATTTGGCCCATACGTAATCCAAAGTATTACAACTGTAGCCTATTTCTCAAATTTTGAAGAAGCCTCTTCAAGTTCCAGCGCAAGACTTCGGAATCTTGGCGATGCACCTGTGCGGCATGCAGGTACTCGTAATGAAGCTCATCCCACACCTTCACAACATCTGCTTCTTTCACTTAGAAACTGTGCAGTATGATAGAGCAAACTTTTGTTTACAATATGCTTTATAGAAAATTTTTTGCAAAGTTTGGTGATAATATTGCATTTTCAATTGGAGGCACGCATACGTCGCATACCGAAAATTTGAATACGAGCGCTTGGAAAAACGGAAAATCAACGTCTACTAAGAAGCATTCAGTCAAATTTGAGCAGATACTTATATAAAGGACACATAAAAAATAGCCTTGCTCGCAGTTACTGCTGCGCTTCTTTAGCTTCCAATTTGTTACAAAGACAGGAGATTACTGCACGCAGGCAACATTCATAGTTCTTGTTTTTCTTCTTCGAAAAAATAGATGCTGAGAAACACAACTGGTAACATGTAATAGCGTAAAGCCTCCTCTACATTGTGGGCGCTGTACTGTTGTGAAATATTTTCGCTGTTCCCAGTTATGGAATAGATTGTAAATACCAAAATTTTTGGCCTTGCAATAGTACTGGTTTGACTTATTCTTTTATTACAAAAACACATGGCATTCCTTCTGAGCCAAAAAGGTATATTTTGAGAGAATGGTTACAGCATCAAGCGGCATAAATTTGGAACAAACTCATCAGTAACTTTGTAACATAAAGTGATACAAAGTAGGATCCCAGACTTTTGACGAACCCTCTTTACTTTAGCTTGGCCTTTTGGCAAGGGACATATTCTGAATCATCTTCAAGCGGTGATTCCAGAAATGCTATTTCTAGCTGCCGCGCACCGTTCCGAAAACAGTTATGGGCAAAATGGGCATACTCATCAACTATCCGGCACCACTGCATCATCTTATTTACTTACTTAGATACTTATTGTTAGATGGCCCGTCCTCACGTGACGTGCGGGCCCCGTACAGAAGTTTCCATTGATCCCTCTCCCTCGCTTCAGACATCCATGATCTTCTTGGTCGTCGTCGGTGTCTGCATCCACGAGTTTCAGGGCGAAAATCGTATCCAGCTGATTTCTCAGCTGGTCCATCCGTTCCACGAACACGTCTGCCCATCTCGCTGGTGGCCTTCCTCGGGGACGTTTGGCTTCGCGAGGAATCCACTCAGATGTTCTTAGTGCCCTTCTGTCATCTGTTCTTCTCATTATGTGACCGGCCCATCGGTGTTTGGCTTTCGCAACGTATTCCGCTGGGTCACGAAGACGGGACTTTCTTCTCATATCCGTGCTGCGAAGTCCGACTACATGTTGCTTGTGTCGGGTCATCTTCAGAAAACGCGCTCGAACGCTCTGTGGGTGGTTCGTAGTTCGTAAAGCTTTCGACGTTGCTAAGGTGTCGGCCCAAGTCTCAGCTGCGTAACAGAGCGCCGGGAGAGCGGTTGAGTCGAACAGGTTGGCACGAAGCACCAAGTTCGTCAGGTCGGCGGCTTCCTTCAGAGGCCCGAAGGCGGCCCAAGCTGATCTGCTTCTCCTGTTAAACTCTCCCCTCAAGTCGATCTCCATGTTCATCGAATGTCCGAGATACACGTAAGAAGACGTCTCCATAATAGGGATACCTTCCAATTCCATTTCTGCATCTTCGCAAAGGGCGTTCTTCATGAACTGAGTCTTCTTTCAATTTATTCGTAGTCCTATCTTCTTCCCTACTTCGTTTAGTTCCTTCAGCATCGTCTCTGCTTCAGTGATACTGCTCGAGAAGAGAACGATGTCATCCGCAAAACGAAGGTTGGACAGAATCTCCCATCAACTCGTATGCCTTTCTCTTCCCATCCAGTGACTTCATCACCCGCTGCAAGGCCGCGGTGAACAGCTTCGGCGAAAGTCTCGAACCCCTTTCAAAATTGGAATGGTCAGGGGGTGATGGAATAGCTCCATCGGTGTTGTACAGTCCTTGTAGCAGTCGGCTATGTCCTCACGTAAGCTGGGTCCACTCCTTGATCGACTAGCGCAGACAGGATGGCGCTGGTTTCGACGCTGTCAAAGGCTTTCCCGTAGTCGACGAAGGTTAGGAGAGGCAGTCGGTACTCCAAGCAGACTTCTATGACCCTCGAAACCGTCTGGATGTGGTCCATGCCGCTAAATCCTTTGCGAAATCCAGCTTGTTCTTGGGGTTGGGCTTCATCCAGTGTCCTAGATATGCGAGCGAGGATAAT